TAGGGTTTATAGGGTTTAGGGGCCAACAAGCATTACCAAAGCGCCAACGTAAGGAGACACAGAGCAAGATTCTTCGCCAAGAGCAAGATCTGGAGATCGATCTGTCCATCTAGCAGGACGGCCTGTTCCTCGCTTTTTTCGCAGGCAGAGGAACACCCCCCCCTAAACCCTAAACCCAACGCTCCGCACTGGGATCGCAAGGACCGGCCTTGGCGGAGAGCTCCAGCGGAGCTGTCAATGGCCGGCAGACTCCGAAAAGCTTTCTTGCCGAGGCGATCAAAGAGCACAGTATGCCTCCGTAATGGAGCCTGATTTCCAGGCCTTCCAACATCCCTTCAGCTATATGCCGTACATCATAGTAGGACCATGACTTACTAATTTAGGGTATATTCCTTGCTGAAGGATATTGGAAGGTTTCGGTTGCCTGGGCCGGCCATGCTTGTGCCAAAGCTCCTGACAAAAAACCGCACCGAGGGTGCCTAGAGCTCCATCCTCAGTCGCCGATGGCGACACCACGAAAGCCTGTCAACACCCCAAGCCCTCGCGCCCCTAGATCCCAAAATCCGTACAGTCCCTAAACCAAGCCCCGAACCCAAGAAATCCACCAAAAACGACTTAACGAAACCCCTAAACTCCGAAGCTCATCGAAATCGAGGATATCCAAACCCTCAATGCGTTATGAAATCCTCACACAGCCCCCACGGAACCCCGTATATCTAAACCCTAAACCCTAAACCCTAAACCCCAAACCCTAAACCCTAAACTCTAAACCCTGATTGCCCGTCCCCCTAGACGCCCCTCTGAGATCGCCTAGGTCGGCCGGAGGACCACGCCCAGAAGCCTGGCTCGAAGGAGGGGGCGCGGCCTGGCGAGGGATAGGGTTTAGGGTTTAGGGTTTAGGGTTTAGGGTTTAGTGCTTAGGGTTTAGGGTTTAGGGTTTAGGGGTAGGAGACCCAAACCTTTCAAAAACAAGCCTGTCATTAAGGAATATGCTTTAAATCATGCTAGATATCCTAGTATCATTGATGGCCTGTGATTCCCGAAATCCGATAATTCAGGAATATGCTGTAAATCATTCTAGGGACCCGACTCTACTTTAAGGTAATCAAGATTGGAACGTATTGGAACGTCTGGGAGTTTGCTCCTGTTGTGCGAGTGCCTTGTTTGACGGGGGTGGGGGAAGGGGGGGGCGGGGCTTTGGGTTTGGGGCTTGGGGTTGGATTGGTTTGGAACTTTGAACAGTTCCGGCGTTCGGGCTTTACGGGTGTTTCGGTT